AAGTTTATCCAGGGGGACCTGCAGGTAATGAATATTTTCTGATGGATTTATTTCTAAAATGTATACTTACAAGGAACAATACCCCTGAGTAAAAGTGAATCAACTCATTTTTTTTCTTGTAGAACTGAAAACCTTATGCACTATCAAAGACACCGATCATTGTTTTTCTACAAGGAATGGGTTCACAAGAAAATAATCCCATTCAGTAAAGCACACAGCTAGGTTATGAACTAATTAAAATGTGAGGCTCATTCAGCAAAGACCAATAATATTTCATAACAGGTAGCTTGATTAGGCAAATGCAGAATCTGCCAACAGTGAGTTCTTGGCAAGCTCAGAGCTCCCACTCTGTATAAGGATTGAAGATGGGGCCCTGAAGTTTTCAGATATTTCGACATATGGACCAAGTGTCAGCAGTGCTCAGCACTCACAAACTGCATTGATGGTAATGGGAGTTGAATTGTCTCAACAACTTTGAAAAGCCTGGCCATACTACTAATAATCAGCATTACAGTAGTGCCAGGAGACGCTGATCAGGGCTCCACTGTACTTTGGACTATAAGTAAATCCTCGGATAATCAGGGTTCTGACACCCCAAGGGGATAACAGAAGGTTTAACTCTGCCTCCCCGCCCACAATAGGCAGCTAAATCAACTGATTGGCTACAATGTTATTTTACTGTAAAAATATATATTAGTAAAGTCTTAAAGCTTGTAATGTGCTAAATTTCATCATTATAAGATATGTATACGGGCTATGGTTACAAATTTATACATATGAGCACAAATTCTCTATTAAACTTCGGCTCCATCTTACAGCAGGGTGGTGGGTGATCAGGCAGGGAGATGCACCTTCCAAGCCAGAGATTTACACAAAAACAGACTCAAGTAATGATCCAGTGTACAACCCATGAAAAAAACTATGATGGGCCGTTAGAGTTAATGGCAAGATATTGAGACTAGTGGGGATTTACTCACTTTGAATATCCGTAGTGATTTGAAGGGGGGGGGGGGGAAAAACTGCAAACCCTTTTGAAATTGAAGGGGTTTGATGTGAAATCCATCTAGAAACCAACGGACTGCCCCTGACAGGAAGCTGCCCATGAAAGCTGGAGCCCCTTTACAGGTAGGGAGTATGCTAGAAACTGTTCAAAGGCAATAGGTAATTTGTATTGGGGGAAAAAGGAATGTATCTAATATGGAAGTGTAAAGCCACTTTGCGTCTTAACGTTTATTTTCTGGGTAACTTGTATATGTATACTTTCCATTACTATTTCATCTTTGGATCTGGAGTTTTTCTATTAAACTGTTTATTTTTATATCCTAAGCAGGTCTCTGTTGTGCAAACTATGTGGAGTGTGTGTGCCAAAGTGAACTGATAACTGAGGGGCTGGTTTCATGCCTTTGGGGGGTGATGAACATGAGGAAATGGTCTGAGTGTCTGGTAATTAAGAACTTGAGGGGTATGGATTTGGGGAGACTCAGAACTGGAAGGGATGTTGGTGTCACCCTGCAAGGAGTAACTAGGCTGGTGAGAACCAGGGTGAGGCCTTATCCTTGTGGGCGGGCTACTGGTCTCAGGGCTCTGGACCATAGCTGCACAGCACCAAGGCACCCTGAAGATACAGGGCAGGTAGTGACAGAACTCCTTACCATCTAGGTGATCCCCAAAACATCACAAATCCATTTATTTATGTCTGAATATTGGTGACATCATAGCAGAATTTTCAGAAGCAATCCTTTGTTAACTTTGAGCACTCAGCAGCTGACCTTCCAGTGATCTGCTGCACATCATCCATCCTTCTTGCTGGTCATCTCCTACTATGATGACCCTCCACCATTCCTTCCATAATAACTTTCTCAAGGTTATTTCCATCTCTATGCCTAATGTAACTAAAGTACATAAGTCTGTGTTTTGATTTCCAACATCAGGATCTGCTTCTCTCCAATAATATTCCTAACATAGACACTTATCTTTTTCCCATCCAGCAGATATGCAGAAATCTTGCCCAGCACCACATTTCAAAAGTTTCAAATTTTTTTTCTTGTCAGCAGCATTAACTTAGGACAATACATAAAATAGACAGACAGTCCCTGCCCAAAATGGAGAAACGTTGATAGACACAGAGGCCCACAAAATCTGTCAGAAGAAAGATGGGACAAGATCAGATCAGCAGTTACTCTCCTGAGAAGGTGTCCCAGGACATCAGTAGGCACCCTTTTGAGCGTTCTAGAGATGATCACATCCTGCACAAAGACAGTGCCCTGGGCAACCATGTATATAAGGATTCTCCAGTTTCCTGTTGTTCCCAGAAGGAAACCTGAGAAAATGGCAGGGAAGGAACATTCTGGTCACTTGTGTTTGAAACAGACCTGCACACTGTAGTGATTTCTTTATTCTAAGAAATTACTACAGTGTGCAGGACCTTAGAGTAAGGGAATCCTGTCTCTCAGTGACATTATTTTGTTCCCTACCTAGGAATTTTGTGACTGTCGAGAAAAATCTCTCAGAGGATCTGTGGACCTAACCTTGAGACAGAATGGAAGAATTTGTGGTTGTTTACCTGAAAATTTTCCCCTCTTCAAAGGGACAGCTCCACAGATTAGGCCGTCCATTAAAAAGGATGTTTTTTATGGTTAAAGTTCACTGCGGTAGTTAACTCTTTCTTGTTGTTCATAATGTTCTCTTGCTGAGTATTATTTTTGCAAAGTGCTGATGCAGGATGAGATTAATTTTCTGTTTCACGGTCTGGAAGGGTAAGCTTTGGAAACATCTCAAAACTGAGGGGGTCTCCAGGAGATGGGGGCTAATCCCTCATCAGACATCCAATTAATTTTGATTCTGCTCCCTATAGCTGCAGACAGGTGAGGACCCTGGGAACAATCTACACACTGAGGATCTGTGGATGTATCCCTTTGAAGAAGGGAAAATTTTCAGGGAAAACAAGCCCAAATTCTCCCTCTAGACAGCATTTCTCTGTCCTTGGTTTTAAGTCAGTTGTAACACACTTTCCCTATATTTCTTTTCATTTCTGTTTTAAATTTTCTTCCTAACACCTTTTCCTTTTAGTGTTTGTCACATCTGATCTCTGTTTCTGATCTTGGCATTGTGGTTATATTTTCTATTTTGTTTCTTTATTTGAAAACGTTTTCCCTCAGTTTTTTAATCTTTCCCTTTTAATTAGATTTTCATCCTGCCACCCATCTCCCCTGCCCCATTTTCCTTTGTTGCATCCTTTTGTCTCTGTATACCTTTTTAGAATGTTTTGGTCCCCTGACAGTTCGTTACTCTTCTCAAAAATGAAATGCAGAGGAAGAAGAATTCTGTAGTGGTCACAGCACAGATAAGATCTGTCACGTATACAAAACTTTGCCTGAATCAGGGAAAGTGATTTATTCTTCTTTGCATTCAAACCCAGGAAGTTTGAAATTGCTTTCCTCTGATCCTGTACATTTCTGTTGTGGATTAAACCATTGGTCCATATAATTCAGCAATGCTCAGCTTTAGAGAAAGGCAACATCCTGCCCTATAATACACATGACAATTATGCAATGTTAAACATGGTGGTAGTGGGAAAGAATTTCTTTTTGGTTCCCTGATTTATCTTCTCATGCCCTGAAGTAAGAAGTTTAATTATTCATATCAATTTAAGTTGAAAAATGGGAAATGTTAGTAACAGAGATGAGTCCAAGCAGCAGGCTGAAGATCTTGAATTCCTTCTGGGGTTTTTGGATCCAGGGTTTTGATCAGACTGTTATATAGAAAGAAACCAGCCAGCAAATTCAAATCTTGATCTTGGTTCAAATTCAGGACTCTACTCACAAGTTCAGCTAAGGAGTTTGGGCTTTTGGGTCAAGCCCATCTTTCAGTATTAGTGCTCGCAGTGTTTGGATTAGTAGTTTCCTAACTTTGACTGCACTATAAAGGCAGTGTAAACTACTTCTAAATTTACCACACTTTAATCTCCAGAATGTATGTTGCAGTAAAATACTGCTATGAACTTCAGTTGATTAGGTTGTTGCTTTGAGAAAACAAATGAGGGCATAGCCACCTTAGAAAAAAGGTTGTCATTGATCAAAGCAGTCCATAGGACCAGCACTATATCTTGGTTTCCAACATGCTATCAGGCTATGAAAATAGCAGCATATGGGATATGAACACAACTTGGTGAAAAATGAGCGTGTTTGCCTAACTACAGGAGGCACACTTTTCCAGCATGCCAATGTTCCTTTTTGGGCTATGGATTATGGCACAAACCCTGCAGCAAAGAGCTTAAACATACTGTAGCTAAGAATAAAAGACTGGTATTGTTTCACATCTCCAGTGAAATGAAACAGAACCCTGAGAGCTAATCTCTTCTTGGTTTCTGATGCATCAAAATAAGGTGCTAGTTTAGTAATTTCACATGGTAAATCCTGTTTCTATGCCATTCAGAATCCACATGTTCACTCACCTGTGTGTAAAATGTGAGAGGAGAATAGGCATAATTAGTATCCCCCAGATGTTATCACTAGGAATATTTTAACAGCCTTTTCTTCTCACATCAAAAGTCACCCACCATTGACTAGAATAGACCACCTTTACCACCAGAAATGTACAGGTTATCCAGTTCAAACTACAAACTGGAAGTGACTCACACAAAAGTGCTTTTCAATGAGAAATTAATAAGTGAAAGTTATTAATTTGACAGTCATGAAATGTCACACACTCCTCAGTTCACAGGTGTCAGAGTTTCCTTTCTTTTTCTAAGCACGAATACTACTTTATACTAGATGGTATAAAACCAACCTCTTTAATGCATTTCGTAGAATGCCAGCAAAACTTTAAAAAGTGGCTGGGAGAATGATGAATTACTTGAGCTAAAATTAGAATTTTTAAAAGGCATCCTCCAGTTCCAGACAGTTCACTGGTCTTTCACAGGAAAGACTCATTCTACTGTGCTCTCATGGTAACATGAATCTTTAATCAAATAAACATTAACTGCTGAGTTACAAGTCAACATCCTTCTCCTCACAGGAAATAACGAAGTGGAACGGGGTTGAATCCATTTTATCATAGAAAAGTTCAAACAATTCCCTTGACCAGTCCATGTCAGTTTCATGACAGATCTGCTTTCAAATCAATACCACCTACATGATTTGGGAGGCACTATGTTCCAAGATCTGTGTGTTTGGAAGAGAAGCTTATTTGCTATGCATACTTTCTATTTACTAGGTAAGTAGCATATAAAAAGCTCTCGTTATAGCTGTATATCTATGTGGCATTGTTGTATGTAGGCTAAACGCTCTTCAGAATTTGATGTTTCCTACTTTTTAACAGAGTGAGAAAATATTTTTTATCTCACTCACAAATATGCTAGATGCTTCAGAGAAAATAAGTCCCTTCCCTAAAAAGTTTACAGTCCAAGGTCCCAGTTTTGCAAGTGGATGCGTTGGCAAAGGGAACTGAATGCATGTGAAGTCCCACTCAAAGCACAGGGTGTAGCTGAAAAGTATGATTCCCAAAGTGGGCTGACAGGCTCCTGCTAGCTCAGCTTCAGATAGTGTGCTAAAAATATCAGTGTGGATGTTGTGGCCCAAGTGGCAGCATGGGCTAGCTGCCTGTGCTTGGACCCAGGTGGTCAGAGAGGCGGACTTGGGTAGCTAGTCCAAGCTGCTGGCCGTGCTGCAACATCCCCACTAATTTTTTTTTTTTTTTTTAGCTTGCTAGTTTGAGCTGAGCCAGCATGAGTCTGTCTACCTGTGCTGGGAGTCCCATCTCCCAGTTGCAATGTAGACATACCCACAGGAGATTGTGTTCGGCAATCTACTTGCAGAAATGGGGAGTAAATGATGGACTTAGTAGACAATGAAGTTATAATATGCACTAGGAATGAGGAAAGGGTGTGGAGAAAGGAGGATTATAGATTACAGAAACAAAATTGTCTGCTTACTCATTCCTATAACTCAGTCATTTAAACAAACATAGTCCACTGGATACAGCAAGTCCAAACACCTGGGGTGAAATCCTGGCCCCACTGAAGTCATTGGCTAAACTTCCATTGATTTTAATAGGGCTTCAACTGGATTTCAGTCCTAGGTAGTTTTCTGGTTCTGTGATTGATCTGCTGTAGGACTTTGGGCACAGCGCTCTGTGTTTCAGTGACCGCATTTATCTAGCTTCTGAGTTCCTAGTTTTTAGTACTGGAAGCAGAACACTCCTCATTGGGGATGAGGGAACTGCCACAAAAGCAAACCTATTTCATGGGGTGTATGTAGAGAGATCAATTAGATTTTATTTTGGCTATGTGTAGGCAGGAGCTGTGCCATTGTTCAGGAAGTTCATTTTTTATTTTCTCGGTTTTTCTTTTTTTTTAAGACAGTGCTACAAAAATACATGAAATCAAAATACCTGTCCATTATTTCTACCACCATCCTTAAACTAGAGGTCAGTATGGAGAAGGTGATAAGATAAATAATGTAACAGATGCTATTATAAAAGCTGTCCCCCTTATTAAAGTAAATAGGGGAAGATTTCTCATTCTCAGTGAAGTGTCACTGGGGGTAGAAATTCTTCCAAAGATACTGCAAGACACCAATTAAAAAGTCAGGAAAAAATGTAGGCTGGCTGCAGTTTATATATATTTTTCTTTTTCTCAAAGAGAATTTTCTCACATCTCTGCATATGTAAAATTCTATTTACTTAATATGTGATATTCTGTGTGCCCAGTCACTCAGATCAAACTATTTCTGGCTTAAGTCTTGTATTAAAAATAAGAACATTCATACGCTGCAAACTTTCACAAGCATTGCTATGAGCAGAACTGAGTTTCTATTCCTGCATGGAGTGAGAGAGTCACTTTATGTCAGTAATCGAGGAAGAGAGATTTGGGATTTTCCCCAGGAATCCTAATTTACAGTAGTTTCATCCTGCATAGCTCAGACTGATTTTTGCGGTCCCATGAAGGCAGTTTGCTGCTTCTCTATAGGGGTGCACCTGTGATTACCTGATGGAGGTGTGGCTATTGAAATGAATCAGGTGACTCATTTCTGTAGGGCACTGATAGTTAATGATGGTCCTGACCCTACTGAACTGCTTAATATTTTATATTTGTACAATCAGCTTAACTCGACCAGTTTAGCATTTCAAGCTTCAACAAAACTTGATGCACTTAAAATGGCTAAAATGTGATTCATTTTGCTTTTACAAATATAACAGTTTAGGGAGCTCAGTCTGGTGAGGACAGAGGTGAAAGTAAGCTGGTCTGGTACAGAGTACCGGTTTAAAAAAAGATGCAGTAGTGTACCGGCAAATAAGTGGAACATTCTGTACTGGCTTACTTTCACCTCTTTTGGCTGCAGAACAAAAAGTTCAAACTCAAAGCCAATAAAAGCTTGGAAAGGGAAAACTCACTGTCACATTTGTTTGTTGTTTCTCCTCCAGCCAGGCTGCCCACACAGCTAGGCTCTCCGTTCCCCCAACTCTCCCACTCAGCAGGGGTTGCAGGGGCTCCCCTCTAGCCTGTAGCAGGGAGTAGAGGGACTGGCTGAGGGAGAAGCCTCTCCAGATAGCCTGCTGCCTGCATAGGAACAGTTTAAACTTGCTGCTCTCTCCCTGGTTCAGACTGGGATTCGGGCTATTTCTGGCATCCTTGTTAATTTCATTCACAGTTGTTGGTGTGTGTTTGTGTGGAAGGTGAGACGAAGGCAGGGGCAGAATACAATAGGCATTTTACTGCTCCGCTTAAATCCAGAGCTAATAAAAGCCACTGGAAAAAGTTTAAACTGTTCCTATTTTTTTGAGATATTTTACTCTGGGCCCCAAATTTGCTAGACGTGTTTTTAATCTTCAACTTGAATTGTCAAGCAAATCACACTGAGCCAACTGCTAAGGTCAAATTGCTCTTGGTAATAGTCTAAATTATAAATTCCCTTACAATTCCCTTTCAACTGTTAATTATATTTTTGAGCTAGTCAGAACTTGTCAATTCCTCGAGAATAGTGGGCTGAATTCAGCCCTAGGAGCAGCAAGAAACAACTCCCAGTGACTTAAAAAAAGAAGCTTCCTTCATTTACAGTAGCCAAACTCAGCCCTGGTTTATCTACACTTATAGCGCCAGATCCTGAAACCGCACGAGTAACTTTACTCACATGGGCAGTTCCATTGTCTCCAATAAAACTCATCAGATGAGCAGAGTTACTAAAACGCATAAGCTTTCACAGGCTCAGGGCCACAGAGAACAGAGACAATTTTTGTTTAATTAAGCTCCTAGAAAGTTCACCTGAAATATTTTTTATTAGATCTGTATTGCTCATCTTTAATAATTCTACAAATACACAGACAGTATAATGAAAAATTTAAAAGGCCTGCATCAAAATAATCCAGTGAACATAATTAAAGCATAATTTTAGACACAACAAATCCTGCATCTTGGCAGGGGGTTAGACTAGATCAGTGGTCCCCAACCTTTCTTGTGGGAATAGCATATTACTATTTCCAGAAGACTGTGGTGGGTGCTGGACACCCTGCCGCTGAAATGCCCCCACCAAGAAGCGGCAGCTGGCCGCCAAGAAACGGCAACGCTTTTCGGCAGCGGGGTGTCCTGCGGGCGCACAAAAATACCCCAGCAGGCGCCATGGCACCCACGGGCACTGCACTGGGGACCCCTGGACGAGATGATCCTTGCAGTCCCTTCTGACCCTAGGGTTCTATGATTCCATGAAAGCATAAAATGGCATGCAAGGAACACCTTGAGCTACTGGAATCTCTAGTACTTGACAGGTTTCAGAGTAGCAGCCATATTATTCTGTATTCGCAAAAAGAAAAGGAGTACTTGTGGCACCTTAGAGACTAACAAATTTATTTGAGCAATCTGATGAAGTGAGCTGTAGCTCATGAAAGCTTATGCTCAAATAAATTTGTTAATCTCTAAGGTGCCACAAGTACTCCTTTTCTTTCCAGTACTTGAGTGGGGTTCTCTCTGTGCACTGGGGTGGTTTGCAAGTTTAGGATTTATCCTGTGGGGCCTGTCTGTCTCACAATTTCTAATTGTGTTTTGACATCAACTAACCCAAATTCAAATTGTAGCCTGGACCAAAGAACAAATATTCTTTCATCCTTTTCTCTTTCTGCACCAGAGACACATGCCTCCTTCTCAGACTCAAGAATAGAACAATTCTGCCTTGCCTTCATTATGGCCCTTGTTTGGGTGTCTTCCCCATTTCATGTCAGAGCCTTTTTGCCTAGTTATTCTTGACCTCTGACTCCTACCACTAGAACCCATGCCTCTTCCCTATTCAACAGTGCTTCTTTGGGGTTTAATTTGGATCTAAAAGTACATGGTCTCTTTATCCCATTGTGAATATAATTAGGTAATTTTGTACAGGGGCCATTCAGTTCTGCAAAAACTAACTCTCTACTCACAGTTCTGCAGGGTGGGAACTTGCTGCTTTATTCAACTGCAACATTACAGTGTGTGTGTGTGTGTGTGTGGCGGGAAGGCGGAGGCGGGAGAGGGAAGAGAGGGATGCCCACTTACAAAACTGGAAGTAAGAGGGTGGAGAGGGGGCTCCATTCCACAATATTTGAGGTAACCAAGTTAACACTATCAAGACCACTTTGCTACTGGTAAGAAGATACTAAGAATAAAAAAGAAACAATAGGAAATTTTTACAAGTACTTTATAGTAAAGGAAACAAATGTAATCTAGTTAGTTAGTGAGTGATGTTAATTGACTTCTCAGTATTCATAGAATTGTAAGGAAACAACCTAATGTCTTGTCAGTTTTAGCAGTAATCAGCAACTCTTAGCACTCTATATTGACCTGTTCATCCATAGAGCTCAAAGCACTTTTACAAAGATAGGGAAACATTATTAAAAGTGCATTCCTTAAAAAATGACCCTCCCACACTCTGTAGACTGTTTCTCTATTTCTTAACTAGTCTACAATGACCAAAATATCATAGTAGGAAATATAGCTGATTACTGCATATATCTCAGTTCACTAGGCCAGTGTCTCTCTGGGGGCAGGTGACCAAACATTACTCTGCTACTAAAGGAAATATCAAGGACGCCAGCAAAAATACATGGGTAGCCTCAATGTCTCTTCGGGGAGAGAAGAAAACCATTTGCAGCTGTTTGGTATGTCACACAAGAAGTCTGATAACTTTCAAGGCCAGATCCACAAAGGCACCTAGTGAATTTAGGCACTGAGTGGGCTAGGGGGCAGCTGCTTCCTAACCCTGTCAGTGCCTAAATTCACTAGGTGCCTAAATTTTCACTTTAAGAGTTCCCTAAACACCTAAGTTTCTGCCTTTAGCACATAATGCCTCAGGGAGGCACCCTACCAAATAAACTGTGACTCAGGGTAGGGTCTCCTTAGCCTACCTCCCAGGCCTTTCTGAGTCCTACCAGACCACTCCCCCGCAAGAGGGACAGAGGGTGCAGAAAGGTAGTGGTCTCTGCTCATGAGGGCCACAAGGTCTGACATTGGCCCATGAGGACCACAAGGTCTCACCCTAGCTCATGATTCCAAGGCCCCTCAGCAAAATCTCAGGTCTTTTACATCTGGGAACCATTCATTTTATCCTTTTAACTGCACTAGAAATTGGCCAGAGTTTAGGCGGCTTCATGATTACCAGTAGTTCCCGCAGTGTAATTTTCTTTGCCCCTTTGAGAGTCTGTATCAGTGTCTTGACCAATGCCAACATTGGTGCAGATAATCTGTAAACACCCCAAACTGCACCCACTTCAATGTCCAGGTAATGTTATGACTTTGGGCAAAGTCTTTTTTTTTTTTAAGTGATGAGAAGGAATCCCAAGGCACTTAGCTGGGTTCTGGAATGCCTGAGGCAAGTACTTGCTGTTGTCCGTCCCTAGTTCTCCTGCAGATAAGAAGTCAGTGAGATTCTGCACGAGACTGGCGTACATCATAAAACAGTGCACTATCACTCACTTCAACATGGAAGTGACTCTTTTGTAAGCAGCACATGACACCACACATCCCAGGGGCATGGCTTTATCAAAATAGTAGTGGCCTTCAAACTGAAAACCAAGTTAAAGTCTGAGATGCGCTGGAAGCAATTGGAATGCCGACTTTATGTCACATTTAGCTAAAGTCACCCCAGGGCCACGCTCCTTGACCATAGCTACCACTGCATCAAATTAGGAGTATCTCACTGAACACAGCTGGGTGATCAATCTACTGATGACTCACCACCATTTGCAAAGAAAACTGTCCCAGCCCCAGTCCTGGCTCCTGCCCAGCTGTGTCACTTATCCCACAACCATTATCCATGTTGGTTGCAGGCCACTGGTCCTCATCCAGTCTCCATTCCTATGAAGACTGAACACATTCTTCCGCATGAGGCAACAATCCCAGGCTCATAGTTCCCCAGCAAAGCTCCCCAAATGAACCATCACCCACCTCTGAGGCCACTACTCTCAGTGCCTCCAGTAGGGCAGGGCTGGGTCCCTCCTATGCCCATGCTGTGGACTACCTATGTCCAGCTGGCCACCCCAAGGGCAGGGGGGAGGGACTGGGCACTCCGCCTGGCACCCTCAGAGCAGCTCCTGAATTGGGCACCTGCAAGGCCATTAGACATACCCATAGTCAGAGGTGAAAGTAAGCTGGCATGGTCTGGTACGCCGTGCCGCACCAGACTGGCTTCCCCAGGCCGGCGATTTAAAGGGTCTGGGGCTCCCCACAGCGGCCGGAGCCCTGGGCCCTTTAAATTGTCACCTGAGCCTTGCTGCCGGAGCCCTGGGCCCGGAGCTACTGCAGCGGAGCCCTGGGCCCTTTAAATCTCTGCCTGAGCCCTGCGGTAGCAGCGGCAGCGGGGAGCCCCTGGGGCTCCAGCAGTGATTTAAAGGGCCCAGGACGCCGCTACAGTAGTGGTGGCCAGAGCCCTGGGCCCTTTAAATCACTCCTGAGCCCTGGGGCTCCTAGCCGCCTCTGCAACTGGTAGCCGTGGGGGTGATTTAAAGGGCCGGGGGTTCAGCTGCTGCCACCACAGCCGGAGCCCTGGGGCCTTTAAATCTTGATTTAAAGGGCTGCTGCTATGGCAGCTGGTGTCCTGAGACCTTTAAATGGTATTTAAAAACTCTGCCTCTTCTGGTTGAAGCCACACCTCTTCCGGTTGAGACCACGCCCCCTGGTCAGGACTCCGGCGTACCGGTAAATCCTTTAAGATACTTTTACCCCTGCCCATAGTTGAAGCCCCACAAGCCCTTCCTTTCACCCCACCTGAAGCAGGCAGAAGAAGAGGGGTGCACTCCTGTGACAGCCATGGCAACAGACCACTCAGCCCCAGCAGGGCTGCCCAGAGATACATGGCCCAGGGCCCTGTTCAGCAGCAGCATGACGTGACCCTCAGCCATTGCCCCGGCAAGCATTTAAATGTGAATACCGTTTCTGTTTCTCAAATGCTTAAGATGCATAAGCTTCTTCTGAGATGTATATTTGCAAATATTTTGGATCAAAATGCAAGCCTTCGTACACTAACTGATATCGTTGCTATCTGAACAGTTAGATGTTTTATGTGCAAATATAGCAAGGTCATTTGATGCTAAACTAAGTAATGTCAGAAGCCATTTAACTATAGAGTATTTATATTAATGGGGAATTAATTAATTACTGGCATGCACAAGCAAACCCTTACCCAACTCTGGAAGACAAGAATCATCTCTAAAAAATTGTTATCAGAATCAACAACTTTTTAATTATTTAAGCTTAAAGACTTTATAAGAGTTATTTAATTTAAAAAGACTTTGCAGAAATATATATATTTGGAACAGGAGTGTTTGCACATTTTTGAAGACAGAACTTCATTTTCTGTCAAACCAAGAAAAGTGAAACAATCTCAGAAAATGGACTAAATAAGAAGAGAATTAAACTAACTTTGAAAGTTCTCATGTTCTCCCACCACAGGAAAAAACAAAGGCAAATAAAGGCAGACTGCATAGTCAGGAGCTGAAGATGTCACCTAAGTAAACCCTGAAAGCATGGAGACAATGACAGAGAGACAGCAACACACTTTGAATTTAAACAAGAATGGCACAGGTGTGTTTTCTTATAATTTCATGGAAATAGGAAGGAGAAGAATACAACCCCCCCCCTCCCAAACCCTCTGAAGTGAAGCACATCGCAACTCATTCTATTCCTCTTTACAAGGAAGCTGCTGCAGCCAGCTAAGAAAAACAGAGAAGACTCAAAAAGAAACCAACCCCAGGAAAACCTGTCCAAAACTTCCACATGGCTTAGTTAGTGAGAGAAGACTAATTTAGACAAGGGATTTGATTTAAAACTCTTGTAATGATTTAATTGGGATATGAAAGTACTGTTTCACTTAAAATACTAACACTTTCTCCTGTTAATTAATAAGTGGTTAGACTGTGTATTCCTGGAGAGGAGACAGGGGCTAAACATTAGTACACAGAGAAACAGTGAGATTTAATTGGATATAAGATTCTTAATATTCATAATAGGCTTGTCTCAAGACAGCTCCTTAAACGGCTTCTTCTAAGTAACCGAAATATTTTCTTCAATTTCATATGATTTAGTTAAGATTGCTTACTTTGCCCAGTTACAAACTATCTGATTATTAACAACCAACAGGCTCCAACTTTCCAAAGTTCTTTTGCTCAGCTATAAACCTTAGTGTATCTTAGATTTCTAAGGCAGCTAGCATCACAATAATTTTGGGAAATAAGACCTTGGTGTCAACTTTGCAAGAGAAAAGTCGCAGGTTCACTTTCAAGGGTGTAATCTCTGTTAAAAGCTCTCCAGAGAGAGGCGTACAGAAGAGATTGTAACTGAAGTAACCAGTTTATCATTTGTGTTCGTTTAATATTTTCTTTTCATATCTTTGATACTGAAATAGCCATGGCTAGCCATTGTGATAGTTTTACTTGGTCTTGATCATGGTCTCTCCAAAGGTATATAGTGGAACCCCTCTGACTAAAATAGCAGAAGTCATACCACTGGGTTGGCAGTAAGAGAAACAATTAGTAAGAGCTGGTCTGTCATTTCATGTTTCTCTAAACTGAATATTTTTAGTAGCTTTTAAAATAAAATTACTTGGTGTCCAACCATTAAAATTACCCTTTCTTGCCTCACAGTTCCCTGTTGAGAAAGTTCGACCAATTTAAGTGCTCCCTTATGCTCCAGTAGACTGGGTGAAGTGGGCCTATTTTACCCCATTTTATGCATTGGTGTGCAACTAATCACATGAGTAGGCCCACGGTGAGCAACTGGATCACCATCTGATCTGGAATATTTTTAGTAGTGTCACAGCAGTTTAGCGTCATAGTGAAACAAAGGAAAGTTTTATCAAATGAAGGAACTTCAGATTTGATTAAACAAGGAGCATTCAATCCAAAACCAAAATGTTATGAACATAAAGAAACTCTTTTGATCTTTAAATTGTTCATACTACAGGAATTTTATGTTAAAATCTTCTCCTTTGTCCCCAGGGTCTTCAGTCTACCAATCAGGAAAACTCTGAACGAGTCTAGCTTTGCTTAATGAGTAAGTCACTTGCTGCCATATCAGAAGACTGCCTAATTAGCAGTTCCAAGATCCCTTCAAATTAATTTAGCCTTTTCAGACACTCATGTGATTCATAGTAGCAAAGAACAAATTATTCCATTTTAAATGTAATCTGATTCAGTAGCTCCTGGTACCAGACATTTTGTCAGATGTGACTTTTCCAAGGAATATCACTTTACTAGCTGCATTAGCAAGACAACCTTCATTTCAATGAGAAAAAAGACACTTATAGTACTTGGGAAATCTGCTCTCTGGCCTCTTTCTTTGCTTTCCAAACTCATATACAATGACAGTTACAAAACACATGTAATTACAAGCTTTAAAAAATGGGTCTTGTTGAGAATTACAGTTTTACAGTTAATACTTTTGCAAATCTGAGTAATTAGGCACCATGAAGAACTGTTAAAAGAAAATACAGAATACATAGACCAATAACATCTAGTTATCAATTAACATGTATCAATTAAAATTAATATTTTACAGGAAGATTCTGTTTTGCAAAATTATTTTGCAAAAGGGACCATGTAATTTAAAAATGAAACCACTGTATTCAATCAGTACTTTAAAATATTTACAAACATGCCCTGTTGAGCCATGGAGCTTTGGATGGCTTTTTTTTTGTAAACTCTGTCACTTACGGAAAATTCACATTTAAAGAACTGTGTGTTGAATTTCCATAATCATCATTATTATATGGTTATGTAATCTTAAAACTTTTTTGATGTTCATCCAATAAGTGCAATTTCTCAAAGATGACATTTACTCAAAGCAAGATTGCACATCAGAGGGATGGATAGATATTAAAATGTGACTCAGCAAGGTGATGTACTTTCAAAGTGCCTATGAGTCATGCCATTATTTATCCAGATGGATCTCAAAACATGGGCCTAGAAGTCAGTACCATAAAAATGTATCCTAAAATCACCATGTAGTGTTCAATGAGAGGATAACTCTTGTTGTATTTACACTTTAATCTGTTGAGTATCAGGGCTATGGGTATGTCTACACTTGGAGCTAGGGGGTGTGATTCTCAGCTTGAGGAGACATACTCATGCTAGCTCTGATCTAGCTAGTGCACTGAAAATAGCATAGCTGCAGCAGTGCAAGTGGTGGGAGGGTCTAACCACGAGTACCTGTCCAAGATGGTAGGCACGTACTTAGGGCAGCTAACTCCCCTGTTGATTGTGCTGCTGAGGCTATGGTCTATTTTTAGCATGCTAATTCTGGCCGAGCTAGCGGAGATATGTCTCCTTTGCGCTGAGACTCACACCCCTGGCTCCAAGTGTACACATATGCTGGGAGGCAGGAAAGCAGAAATAGGAACTGCAAGAGTAATGCTGCAACAGTTTTGAGCTGCACATAGAGTTTTAGTCCTTGTTTTTCTGCAAAAGAACTACTGCTTGAAAGGTAGAGAAATATGCCCCTCTGGCTGAAACCTTGAGACCTAAGTGTTACTAGGTCCAGACACACACACTGCTCTTCGGAGTCTTAGGCGCATGGGACTCCAGTAACAAGCGAGTGCTGAGAGAATGCTGAATCGGTCAACACTACGCTCGGCTGATGCGGCAACGTATGGTGTCTGACACCATCAGGTGGTTGAAGGACAACTACATAGAACACATCACAAGACACTGGCAATACCAGGAGGGATGAGCTGGAGTGCCGATGAAAAGCGCAGTCAGGAAAGTAACTGAAATACTTTCCTCATGGATTGTATTTTCTAAATGGACAAGCAACCTAATTCTCAGTTACTGAGGGACAATCTCCACTCAGTGATATATTTTGCTTTCCTCAACCAAATCTCTCTACAACTTTTCATGAGTGATGTACCCGAGTATTTGGATTCTAATATCTAAACTGTATTCAGATTCTAATATCTAAACTGTAAATCTATTCACTTAAATTTGGGTTATTGCTTATTATGTACTCTATGTATCATATGACTTTTAAAAATTAACTTTATATGTGTGGATCATCTAAGCACTATACCCAGATGTACAGGTACTCTTTTCCCAACCCATGTATTATATAATTTTTTGAACATTAGCTTTAATAAAAATTTTAAATCTGATAAAGGGCTGTTTTGTTGTAAGAACCCAAAATGTGCCCCTTCCTCCTGTGCCTGACATATCCAGAAGTGTACATCCCAGAGTGCAATGTGGTAGGAAATAATCCACTACTGCAGTCCCTCTGATTGAGCCAAAGCCACTATGCTCACTTCTGCCCCTGGGGGAGTTTTAATATGGGCTAAAATGCCAGTAATGCATCATGACACTTTACGTTACCTTCACATCAGATACAAAGAGCAACATCCCAGCTATCTAAGGGTACATGTACATTTTGAGATGTACTAGCTCTGATCAAGCTAGCGTGCTAAGAGCAGAGCGTAGCTGTGGCATCATGAGTAGCGGGGGGGCTAGTGCCCCAAGTCTGATCCTGTCCAAAATGCTAGGCACGTACTCAGGGTGGCCCTTCCTGCTGCTTGCATGGCCATAGCTATGCCCTATTCTCAAAACAGAGCTAGCACAGGTATGTCTCCTTGATCTGGGAATTATACCTCCAGCTCGAAGCATAGACATACCTAAGAGCATCATGCAATGAGCAAATGGATGAAGAACAACTGACTGAAGCTGTATGTGCAAAAGGCTATGGTCACATTTTCGGCCACAGCTTTGGAATATCCACAAACTTCTTTCAGAAAGCACATGAAAGTGAAGAAAATCAATACTACTTTCAAGTATATCTGAACAAAATTCAAGGGAACTCAAGACACAGCTTAGGCTGAGTGTACACTACAGGCTTGTTCCTGCCGATGTACTACTGTGTCCTATTACACCAACATAATAACTCCACCTCCACGAGAGGCATAGGGCTTATGTTGGTGTAGTTAGGGCAATGCAGTGTCTGTGTAGACACTGTGGTACTTACATTGGCTTTTGGCTGGAGCTGTGAAATAGACAAGAAAGCTGGGGTGTCACCGGGGCGAGTGGAGGGCTACAGCTAGAGCCTGACTGCCCCCGGGCTCCCTGCTCCCAGCCAGGCTGTGCCTGCTCTACTCCCCACGCAGAGCCTGGCTGCCCACTGGCTCACTGCTCCTGGCTCCCAGTCCAGCTATTGCCTGGGCTGCCCGTTCTCTGCTGCCAGCTGCGCTGCTGACCGGAAGCTCCTGGCTCCCCGCGGGGAGCCCTGTTACTGCCCAGAGGCTCCTAGCTCCCCACTTCATAGAGTTCGGCTGCCGCCTGGGCTTTCAGTTCCTCACTGCAGCTGGGAGCTGGTAGCCACAGGGTGCAGCTTGGCTGGGAGTGGGGAACCGGGTGGGTGCAAGCCAGCAGCTGTCCAGAGGCACCCTGGCAGCTGCCTGGAGTCTCCCAGGAGCTGGGTGTGGAGTTCTCAGCTGGGAGTTTGGCTGCCGTGGAGAGCTGAGAGCCCGGGGGACAGCTGAACTCCCAGCAGCAGGGAGTCAAGAACCTGGAGGCAGCCAGGCAGGGAGCTGTGTGTGGAGCTGAGAGCCCAGACTCTCAGCCCAGTACTGGGTTTATAATGGGGCCAAAGCGCCATGGCACTGGGCCCACACACAGCAGGGGCCACTCCACTCCCTAGCCCACCTACCACTATGGGAATGCTGGTCATTGCACAACATCATAGCTATCATCAACAATGAAGTGAGCTGTAGCTCACGAAAGCTTATGCTCAAATAAATTTGTTAGTCTCTAAGGTTCCACAGGTACTTCTGTTCTTTTTGCGAATACAGACTAACACGGCTGCTACTCTGAAATCTGTGAAGAGTTCATCAAACTCATGGCTAACATGGCTAAAGCAGGACACTGTGGATGAGCTAAAATTGACTGAGTATTTTCCTTCAGTGTTGATTCCACACCAGATATTAACCGTACTGATCAGCTGACATTTACTGTGCGTTATATGCTGAATAACTGCACACCTGTAGAACGCTGCTGCAGAGTCATGTTTTGGTTTTGTCCAAAAACTGTATGTTTTTTTCTCAGGTTCAACTTATCGCTGGGGCCTGTTGTGAGATTCTCTGAAAGAGGAGACATCTGAGGCCAGTAACAGAGAACTTCTCCCAAAGCGCCTCAGTGACACAAGGTGGTCAGCTCAAGCGTATGCACTTTGCAGTTTATCATGCAACTAGAAAAGCTATAAATCCGTGCTTCAGGCTTTTGAAGACACTGTGCAGAATAGTGAAAAACGAGCAGAGGCAAACTCATTAGCTGAAACCATGGATCAGTTGGAGACTGCATTTATGACAACTTTTTGGAGTAGTATTCTTACAACACTAAACAAAACATGTGAACAATACAAGTCTGCAGTCTGAAACAATGGATTTAGACACAGCTATGATGCTGCTGAAGTCACTATCTGAGTTTGTGGCAGCAAAACAGAATAGTTTTGAGGAATACCATGAATTTGCAATGTCTTTAAGTTCTACAGCTAACTTTCAGGTAAAGTGGCAATGTCATCCAAAGCGTATGGCTGATGATAGTGAAGAACCTGCTGTTGTGCTGACGGGACGAGAAGTTCAAAATTGAACCGTAATTGATTCACTTGTCAACCATCTCAACAGAAGAATTACCGCATATTCAGAAATAAACAACTATTTCTGTTTTTTAACAGGTGACCTTGACAGTACTGCTGATAAAGAGTCTCTCAGAAGATTAATTGAATTCTATTGAAGAGATCTTTGAAGAATCAGTGTGTGCTCACTTCTAAAGCAGCTTGCCTCCAAGCCATTATCACGAGCTCTGCCTACACCGCTGCAAATGCTGACCATAATGAACACGCATAATTTGCAAACAGCCTTTCCAAATGTCTTTTTTGCACTACGCATTTACCTGACGCTACCAGTCTCAAACTGCAGTGGTGAAAGGTCTTTGTCACATTTAAAAAGGATAAAAAGTGCTTTACATGCTACAATGGTTCAAGAAAGACTTAACAGTCTTACTCCGTTATCCATTGAATCTGAGATGGTAAACTCTATAGACTTCTCTAGTTTAATTGAAACGTTTGCTGCAGCAAAGGCAGGTCGAAAAATCTGAAGAAAATTTTCATACATTTTATTTATAGCATCATTCTTCATACTAGTCTTGCGTCAGATAAGTAATTTGTATATTACATAGCCAGTATTAATGTGAGTAACTTACTCAACCAAACCACTTTGTGTAGCTATTGTTAATAAAGCCTGTGCAGCTATGTGCTGTGTCACAGACAATTTCTGTGTCGATCTCCTGTCTTTTACAATCATTCCCCAGGGGGGCCCACAAACATGTTTGGCGCGGGGCCCACAAAAAGTTAATCCGGCCCTGTCTCAGCCCCCCACGCTGCCCCTCTTAAGTTGGTGGAAGTGTTCCTGGTGAGGATGTGCACCACTGTCAGAAGGGTAGTGTGTGGACATGAACCACCGCAGTTCAGTGGCTGTAAGTCGACCTAACACAGGTCAATGTACAGTTTCCAGTGTAGACATGCCTTTAGTGATAGTGACTCAGTCCAACTGAAACAATTTGTTTGTCAGTGGTTCTGACTGTGATCTTACATACACCAATGTAATTCATGAGCAGCTCCACATAGGTCAGAGGTGTTAGCTCAGTGTAAAATGGATGACAGAGATCAGAATCAAGTTCACTGTGTTTACGACATACCTGTGCCTTACGGGGTTTTCTGATTAATCTATAATATGTCACTCTGGGATAAAACTGGACTCTGTGGTCTAGATTTAAAAAACACAGATAGCAAGTCATTTTGGCTAGATAGCATGTGTAATGCAAGCACGCAGACTGTTTTTCCCCCCCAAGAAGTTAATTGCTGTAGGAATACTGTGTTTTTGAAAAAAAACACAAGGCCTGGAAAAACTATTGTATTTCCTGCTTCCCGGTCTGATGTTAATATAACACTGAAAATTGTGGTGCAAGACTGAACCTAATAGAACTGCCAGGATATCCTCTGTATCCTCTCCTTGCAAGGAGATACTCAGCTAGAGAAGGACACTCACCTGCATTCCTGGAGGATGACATCATATCCTGAGAATTCAAGACAGTCAGAAGAGAAATAGCCAAATATCTTAAAAGGGCAAAACAAATCCCTTAATAAAGCTGAAAGTTCAGGCAGCCTATTCCCTCCTTCATAGGGCTGTTTATTCTTGTTCTGTATTCATATTTCTTTCCTGTTATAGGTTGCTCTTTAATGAAGAGTTGGATAAAATTTTTATCATCCCTCTTTACAAAGGGAGAAGTCATTTTAGTTGTGGCTATTTACAGCCTCTATTCATGGAGGCCACTAGGGGGCATATAGCAAGCAAGGAAGAGTCTGTGTAAAGAGGAAATAAATCAGGCAATCACCCTAACCACAGTGTGCTGGGTTTCTCTCTCTCTCTCTCATATCTGCAAAAGTCAATGCACAGCAAGTTTATCTGGCAGAGTGTGGTACAAGAAGGAACAATATAAACAAGCTAACAAAATTAGTATGAGTGGTAATAGCATATTCTGTTTCATCTTCCTTTGCGAAATGAGAATCTTTCTGATACTATTTACTGTCATAACAATCATGAATAATATTCAGCCTTATTGATCATCAGGGATCCTAGAAATCCATTTGCCATGGAAAAATGTGGAATTTGCGTTTTTACAGATTTCAGAGTAACAGCCGTGTTAGTCTGTATTCGCAAAAAGAAAAGGAGTACTTGTGGCACCTTAGAGACTAACCAATTTATTTGAGCATGAGCTTTTGTGAGCTACAGCTCACTTCATCGGATGCATACCGTGCATGTTTCCACGCTATGCATCCGATGTAGTGAGCTGTAGCTCACGAAAGCTCATGCTCAAATAAATTGGTTAGTCTCTAAGGTGCCACAAGTACTCCTTTTCTTTTTGCGTTTTTACAGAGACTCTTTAGTTTTTACATTTTGTGAAAAAATAAAAACATATACAGTAGAACCCTATTTATTTGATCTAATTGGGACCGGGGCCAGATCAGATAATCAAAAATTCAGATAACCAGGAGAATGGGCAGTCATCTTAAAAATGGTAAATATACCAATAAAACATTGTGTTCAACTCATATCTATATAGAGTGTGGGTAGGGAAACTAAAGTTCAGTGTTCCATTTTAAATCACGGAAAAATGCAGATTTTTTACGTTTGTTTATTGGGGAATTTTTTTTATCATGGAAAACTAGGGTCCCTGGTGATCATGCCAAGTGGAATGTATGAACTTGAAAAAAATAGTTTGGCGCAGTGGCTGTGTGTTTGTCTGTTTGTACAATCCATAGCACGTATTAGCACAACCATAATAATAAAAAAGTGGGGGAAAACTAAATTCTTACTATCAAAGATTGACTTTTAGACTATGTTCACGGATGTAAGATTTATGATGTTTCAACAATGATGTTGCTGCTGCTTGTTGCTTTAGCAGTGCACAGGTTGTGAAGGAACCAGTAAAAACAAGGAAAGAAAAGAATGTAGACTGTGATATTGCTTCCTCTGTTTTATGAAAGTGATTGTGATAATTCCATCACAGTTTCTAGTGACGATGTCTCTGTCCATAATCACTAATGTGATAATGGCTGCAAATATACGGAGCAGAAAAAATGAACCTAGATGTGTTATACTTACTTGGACAGCGCAAATAATCTGAGGTGAGCTGAATGTGTGTATATTCTGCAATTGCCTGATGGGAAGATGGAGGTGAAGGCCAACAGATTGCAGTGGTTTTATGGAACCCAAAAAGAAAGGCACAAAAATGTACAAAATATGGTGAGTGAGTAGTCTAACTACCTTACATAATCAGTTGCTAAAACTAAATTGATACCCACCTATCAGGAGGGCATCCGTGGCACAGAAAATTAAGACGGACTGCTTAGTGTGTAGCAGGCCATCAGCACTGTAAAATCAGTTTGTTTTAGAATGAATGGCTCGAAAGCCACAAAACATACTCTGTTTTCATCAAACAAGAAGCAAAATTTAGGCTACATGCCACTGCCTAAATTAGTTGCCCTCCCATTCCCATGCATGAATCCTCACAGGTTTCTTCTCATGCATGTACACTTAGAAGTAAGTAGTTCTGCTTAACACATATCTGTGCAAGAAATGAAGTGCATCAGGCCACAGTATAGATGTTTTCACTTCATCTTTAGCTAGATTCTGAGGGGCTGTTTAAATAAACACTGACTAATCTTCAGATTACAGGTGTACTGAGTGCAGGTGTAAGTCTCTAGGGTAACATACACTCATGTGCTTCCTTTTCAATAGCAGGTTTAGAAGTTTGTTTTGCTGCATATAACTTTCTTGCTTATGCCACCTCATGATTGCATTGTTTGTTGTTATGATGCAATTGTATGTCTCTCAACTGAGTTCCTGAAAACAATAATGTACTAAAATTAATGGTCTTGTCCAATTCTCATTTGTAAAAACTGTTTTCCAAATATCTACTCTGGGTAAAATGTTCAAAAGTACCCAAGTCACTTTAAGAACTTTTTGAAGTTCCATTCTCAAAAGTGTCTGAGACTTAGGTTCCTAAGTGCCTAACACCCTTTTGAAAAGGGGACTGAGGTACTTTTGAAAATGTTATCCTTTACTTAGTCAGATGCAAAATGAAAAGCTCTGAAATCAAAACCATTGCCGGCTTAGCATATATGAAAGCCTTCCCTCATTGCTAAAGATATTAGCATGTTTTGCATTATCTGACATGAGTTGCTAATCGTGCACAGTTGGCAGCAGTTGACTAATAAGTTTAGCAAAGATTCAACTCTATGGTAATTAGCGTCTACTACAGCAACACAACCCACATCTCTGAATATTGATGATAGCTTTCCTCTCTACCAGCAGATGTGGCTGGAGTACTTACATAATCATTATATAATGGGGACTTAAATCAGATACATCTTAAATGATCACATGCGTCTCCATAGATCGTTACAAATACGGTACTGAATTAGTGTGACAGAATTGTGGCACTACAGTGGTTTTTCGTGAAGGAAAAATGGTTATAGATACACTTTTGCAAAATAAAGTACAAACATCATTTTGGGATTGGCAAACACATTCACTAGGAAAAATTGCTGCCATCTTTCCTTCTACTACGAGAAGCATAACACAAACTCTAGATGTTCTTTGTACTGAAACAGCAAAGCACCGGGGTATTTTCCCAAAGAAAACTGATGTATGAAGTTATTGGAGTGCACCAGCAAGGTAAATATGGCTGTCTCTCTGTATGGGTATGTCTACACTGCAGTGTTAAGACTAGTGTTAGTACGACTCACTTCAGCAGACCCTGGGTTAGAGAAGCCAATGCTTGAGCATCTACACTGATTGTCAACCTAAGGTTAAGCATTTTCTAACCTGAGCTCAAACCTGGGGCTCTGGTGTCCATTCAGCAGCACACAGACCTGAGTCAAACCAATCATATCACAGACTCCCTAGTGCCTTCCTGACAAGTGGCTGCTCTAGTCCTTTGACATGGTGCAGTGTGGAAAACCTTGACTGTCTGCCCTGCATGTTACAGGAAGTTTGACCAGCCCACTAAGCCCTGGTCTACACTAGGAGTTGAGGTTGAATTTAGCAGCGTTAAATTGATTTATCCCTGCACCCATCCACACGACGAAGCCCTTTTTTCGACTTAAAGGGCTCTTAAAATCGATTTCCTTACTCCACCCCTGACAAGGGGATTAGCACTGAAATTGGCCTTGCTGGGTCGAATTTGGGGTACTGTGGATGCAATTAGACGGTATAGGCCTCCGGGAGCTATCCCAGAGTGCTCCATTGTGACCATTCTGGACAGTACTCTCAACTCAGATGCACTGGCCAGGTAGACAGGAAAAGAACCGCGAACTTTTGAATCTCATTTCCTGTTTGGCCAGTGTGGCAAGCTGCAGGTGATCATGCAGAGCTCATCAGCAGAGGTGATCATGATGGAGTCCCAGAATCACAAAAGAGCTCCAGCATGGACCGAACGGGAGGTACGGGATCTGATCGCTGTATGGGGAGAGGAATCTGTGCTATCAGAACTACGTTCCAGTTTTCGAAATGCCAAAACATTTGTCAAAATCTCCCAGGACATGAAGGACAGAGGCCATAACAGGGACCCGAAGCAGTGCCGCATGAAACTTAAGGAGCTGAGGCAAGCCTACCAGAAAACCAGAGAGGCGAATGGCCACTCCGGGTCAGAGCCCAAAACATGCCACTTCTATGATGAGCTGCATGCCATTTTAGGGGGTTCAGCCAGCACTACCCCAGCCGTGTTGTTTGACTCCTTCAATGGAGATGGAGGCAACACAGAAGCAGGTTTTGGGGATGAGGAAGATGATGATGATGAGGTTGTAGATAGCTCACAGCAAGCAAGCGGAGAAACTGTTTTTTCTGACAGCCAGGAACTGTTTCTTACCCTGGACCTGGAGCCAGTACACCCCGACCACCCAAGGCTGCCTCCCGGACCCACCAGGCGGAGAAGGGACCTCTGGTGAGTGTACCTTTTAAAATACTATACATGGTTTAAAAGCAAGCATGTTTAATGATTAATTTGCCCTGACATTCGTGGCTCTTCTGGATATACTTCCAAAGCCTTTGCAAAAGGTTTCTGGGGAGGGCAGCCTTATTCCATCCACCATGGTAGGACACTTTACCACTCCAGGCCAGTAGCTCGTACTCGGGAATCATTGTAGAACAAAGCATTGCAATGTATGTTTGCTGGCATTCAAACAACATCCCTTCTTTATCTCTCTGTGTTATCCTCAGGAGAGTGATATCATTCATGGTCACCTGGTTGAAATAGGGTGCTTTTCTTAAGGGGACATTCAGAGGTGCCTGTTCCTGCTGGGCTGTTTGCCTGTGGCTGAACAGAAATGTTTCCCACTGTTAGCCACAGGGAGGGGGGAGGATGGAGGGGCTGGCCACATGCTGGCGGGAGGCAAAATGCGACCTTGAACGAAAGCACATGTTCTATGTATGTAATGTTAACAGCAAGGTTTACGTGAAAGAGTGTACCCATTGTTCTATAAAATGTGTCTTTTTAAATACCACTGTCCCTTTTTTTTCTCCTGCATGTGTTTCAAGGATCACAGGATCTTCTCCTTCCCAGAGGCTAGCAAAGATTAGAAGGCAAAAAAAACGCACTTGCGAATGTTCTCTGAGCTCATGCTGTCCTCCCACACTGACAGAGCACAGGCGAATGTGTGGAGGCAGACAATGTCAGAGTGCAGGAAAGCACAAAATGACCAGGAGGAGAGGTGGTGGGCTGAAGAAAGGGCTGAAGCTGAAAAGTGGCAGCAGCGTGATGAGAGGAGGCAGGATTCAATGCTGAGGCTGCTGGAGGATCAAACTAATATGCTCCAGCGTATGGTTGAGCTGCAGGAAAGGCAGCAGGAGCACAGACTGCCGCTACAGCCCCTGTGTAACCAACTGCCCTCCTCCCCAAGTTCCATAGCCTCCTCACCCAGACGCCCAAGAATGCAGTGGGGGGGCCTCTGGCCACCCAGTCACTCCACCCCAGAGGATTGCCCAAGCAACAGAAGGCTGGCATTCAATAAGTTTTAAACTTTTAAAGTGCTGTGTGGCCTTTTCCTTCCCTCCTCCACCACCCCTCCTGGGCTACCTTGGTAGTTATCCCCCTATTTGTGTGATGAATTAATAAAGAATGCATGAATGTGAAGCAACAATGACTTTATTGCCTCTGCAAGTGGTGATCGAAGGGAGGAGGGGAGGGTGGTTAGCTTACAGAGAAGTAGAGTGAACCAAGGGGAGGGGGGTTTCATCAAGGAGAAACAAACAGAACTTTCACACCGTAGCCTGGCCAGTCATGAAACTGGTTTTCAAAGCTTCTCTGATGCGCACCGCACGCTCCAGTGCTCTTCTAACTGCCCTGGTATCTGGCTGTGCGTAACCAGCAGCCAGGCGATTTGCCTCAACCTCCCACCCTGCCATAAATGTCTCCCCATTACTCTCACAGATATTGTGGAGGGCACTGTGAGCAGGAATAACAGTGGGAATTTTGGTTTCGCTGAGGTCTAACCGAGTCAGTAAACTGCACCAGCGTGCTTTTAAATGTCCAAATGCACATTCTACCACCATTCTGCACTTGCTCAGCCTGTAGTTGAACAGCTCCTGACTACTGTCCAGGCTGCCTGTGTACGGCTTCATGAGCCATGGCATTAAGGGGTAGGCTGGGTCCCCAAGGATAACTATAGGCATTTCAACATCCGCAATGGTTATTTTCTGGTCTTGGAATAAAGTCCCTTCCTGCAGCTTTTGAAACACACCAGAGTTCCTGAAGATGCGAACGTCATGTACCTTTCCCTGCCATCCCACGTTGATGTTGTGATCCACCAGTGCTTGCAGCACTATTGAAAAGTACCCCTTGCGGTTTATGTACTCGCTGGCTTGGTGCTCTGGTGCCAAGATAGGGATATGGGTTCTGTCTATGGCCCCACCACAGTTAGGGAATCCCATTGCAGCAAAGCCATCCACTATGACCTGCACATTTCCCAGGGTCACTACCCTTGATATCAGCAGAACTTTGATTGCATTGGCTGCTTGCATCACAGTAGATTTGCCCACTCCAAATTGATTCCCGACTGACCAGTAGCTGTCTGGCATTGCAAGCTTCCACAGGGCTATTGCCACTCGCTTCTCAACTGTGACGGCAGCTCTCATCTTTGTATTCTTGTGCCTCAGGGCAGGGAAAAGCAAGTCACAAAGTTCCATGAAAGCGCCCTTACGCATGCGAAAGTTTCGCAGCCACTGGGAATCGTCCCAGACCTGCAACACTATGCGGTCCCACCAGTCTGTGCTTGTTTCCCAGGCCCAGAATCAGCGTTCCATCGCATGAGCCTGCCCCATTAGCACCATGATGCCCACATTGCCAGAGCCTGTACTTTGAGAGAAGTCTGTGGCCATGTCCTCATCACTCTTGTCACCGCGCTGACATCACCTACTCGTCCGGTTTCGCTTTGCCAGGTTCTGGTGCTGCATATATACTTCTGGATAATGCGTGTGGTGTTTAATGTGCTCCTAATTGCCAAAATGATCTGAGCAGGCTCCATGCTTGCTGCGGTATGGCGTCTGCACAGAAAAAAGGCTCGGAACGATTGTCTGCCATTGCCCTGATGGAAGGTGTTAGGGGGCTTATTCCTTCACCCACTTACATCCCTGGTCCTTCAGCATGAACAGAGAGCAACAATACCCGAAGTCCAAAGGTGCAAACAATTTGATGTTTATTGGGGTGAACTTCCAGCAAGCCATGATTCTAGTTTCCTTCCTTAGTGTCCCCCTTCCCAGCTCTGACACCACAGAGCCTTACACCTGTGTCCCTGTTCCCATTCCTGCCCTAAGCCAAACATGATTCCAATTTCCCCACCCCCATTCCCTGTTCTCATTTCCCCCTTTAGCAAAACATGATTCCAATTTCCTTACCCCCTTTCCCTGTTCCCATTTCCCCCTTTAGCAAAACAGGATTCCAATTTCCTTACCCCCTTTCCCTGTTCCCATTTCCCCCTTTAGCAAAACAGGATTCCAATTTCCCCACCCCCATTCACTGTTACCATTTCCCCCACACACACCCACCCACTCACTTCCTAATTGACTGCAGACTATATAGTAAAACTTGAGTTCTGCTTAGCTATACCTTAACCAATCATTTTCCTGAAATTTAACTAACCAATCCTAACATATTGTAACATGATTATATAACCAATTATATCCCACCACCTTAATTAGTTTACACCCAGCAAAATTAATTATACAGCAGACAGGAACAATCACAGAACCAGACAGAGATTATACAGACAAACAATAACAAAGTGGGAACTATAATGACAAAACAATACAGAAGTGAGGATTTCACATCCCAGCTATTGATAAGTGAGTTCTTGCCAGACAGGATGCTATCAAACTAAGTTTCCTTTTACATTTTCTAGGCACTTCCCTTTCTCTGGAGGCGATAGGCATTATCAGGACAGGATTGTATTCCTAACAGCCCAATAGCACCTTATTTCAATGTGACTAGTTTGGAATGTGAGGATGTGACTGGTCGCTTCCCAGCTTATGGCTGCCTCTGCTGCTTAGCCAAAGGCCTTAGCCTAAGAACAGGGCCTCAGACTGTCACAGTAAGAGAAGGACCTTACACCGGCAGACAGTGATTTTGATTCTTTCTTTTATACCTCTATAACTAGCCAAGTGATAAGAATACACCTAAATTCTTAGAGTACAGGCCTTTACCGACAAGCCAGAATATCTATATCCTAACAGAGGGAGGGGCAACTGATGACATGGCTTACAGAGTTGGCTTACAGGGAATTAAAATCAACAAAGGGGGTGGCTTTGCGAGAAACTGAATGGCCCCCTCAAGGATAGAACTCAAAACCTCAAGGATAGAACTCAAAACGGGTTTAGCAGACCATTGATTTCACAGAGGGAGGGAGGGAGGAGAAAATGAATACAAAACAAATCAGGTCTATTTCTTGTTTTGAGCCACTTCATCTATCTTTATACATCTTGCTGGCAGCAGATTGTGCAGTACGACTGCTAGCCATCGTCATCTCCTGGGTGCTTGGCAGAAGACGGTGCAGTATGATTACTGGCCATCGTCTTCTGCTAGCTGCAGATTAAAAGACAGTGCACTGCCGGTAGGACTCAATCACCATGAGACGAAACAAGGGAAATGACCTGGCTGAGTCACTCCCATGTTTGCCCAGGTGCCCGGTTAAAAGAGCACCCAGGACTACGTCGACGACGGCTACCAGTCATACTGTCCCGTCTGCTGCCAAAAGGCAATAAACTGCTGCTGAGTAGCAATGCAGTACCATGTCTGCCAGCACCCAGGAGACATATGGTGACAGTTAGCTGAGGCGGGCTCCATGCTTGCCATGGTAGGGCGTCTGCACAGGTAACTAAAGAAAAAAGGCACAAAACAATTGTCTGCCCTTGCTTTCATGGAGGGAGGGAGGGAACGGAGGCCTGACAATATGTACCAGAACCACCCGCGACAATGTTTTAGCCCCATCAGGCACTGGGATTTCCACCCAGAATTCAAATGGGCAGCAGAGACTGCGGGAACTGTGGGATAGCTACCCACAGTGCAACGCTCCGGAAGTCGACGGTTGCCTCGGTACTGTGGACACACTCTGCCAACTACATGCACTTAGAGCACTTGTGTGGGGACACACACAATTGACTGTATAAAAGCACTTTCTACAAAACTGACTTCTATAAATTCAACCTAATTTTGTAGTGTAGACATACCCTAACACAGCCTGATGAGCTGTCACTTTGCTCTGTGTGCTCTCAGTTACCGCAGCTAGTAACGTGACAGCGGCACCATTTGAAGAACTGCTCTCACTTGTGTTTTCACTCCTGTTTCAGGAAATGGGCACAGCTTCTGTGAGACACTGGTGGAGATTTCAGTGGCATTTTCTGACCCACCGAAGGTTTGACAAAGCCTATACGGGAGCAGAAGGAGGAGGAGTATCTAGGCATGGCAGACTCACACTGGCTGATGCTCCTTATGACATTTGGTATAGCCACTGATGCAGGGCCGGTGCAAGGAGGTTTCGCGCCCTCAGCAAAACTTCCACCTTGCGCTGCCCCCCCACCTGCCCTGCAGCAGCTCCCGGCCGCCCCCTCTCCACAGCCTGGGGAGCCCCACCTGCGACAGCTCGCCACCGCCCCCTCTCTCCCTCCCTCCCCTTGGCCCAGGGAGCCCCCCCCGCGGCAGCTCCCCGCCGCCCCCTTCTTCCCTCCCCTTGGCCCAGGGAGCCCCCCCTGCAGCAGCTCCCTGCCAACCCCTTCCTCCCTCCCCTTGACCCGGGGAGCCCCCCCTGCAGCAGCTCCCACCGCCCCCTCTCTCCCTCCCTCCCCTCAGCCCAGGGAACCCCCCCGTGGCAGCTTCCCGCCGCCCCCTCCCTCCCTCTCCTCAGCCCAGGGAGCTGCGTGCAGCAGCTCACCTCTGCTCCGTCTCCTCCCCGAGCACACCACCACTTTTCCCTCCTCCCAGGCTTGTGGCGCCAATCAGCTGTTTGGCGCGCAAGCCTGGGAGGGAGAGAAGCAGAGCAGGGCGGTGTTCAGGGGAGGAGGCAGAGCAGAGGTGAACTGGGGCAGGGAGTGGTTCCCCTGTGCACCACCCCACCCCGTTACTTGCTGCAGGTGGCCCTCCCTGCACCCCCCCTGCTCCAGCTTACCTCCACTCCAGCACCGCCCCCAACCACTTGGTGCCCTAGGCGACCACCTAGTTCGCCTAGTGGTTGCACCGGCCCTGCACTGATGCCCTCAACACAGTCCGGCGCTTCTGGAGCAGTGCTACAAGCACAGACTGGTGGGCTCACATGGCATTGCAGATGTGGGATTGTCACACCCCAAGGCCCCCTCCCTCAGGGAGTCCCCTGGGAAGGCAGATCAGCATTGTATATTGCTAACGCTGTTGCTTGCATCACAAAGCATTTTAGGGAGGGTCAGAGGTGTATGAGTGGGGAGTGGAAGTTTCCTTTGCAGGTACGAGAGGCTGGTGGGGCGGGGAAAGAAGAAAAGCAGAGAACAGAGAACAGGTGTCATAAATATAAAG